AGCATTTATTACTGTTAATGTCTGTAAGTCAGTGTATGACCTCATGTCCAGTTACTCATATAGCCACTTTGTTGTTTATACCAATAACCATGAGGAATTGTTCAGCATTTATTACTGTTAATGTCTGTATGTCAATGTATGACATTATGTCCAGTTACTCATATAGCCACTTGTTTGTTTATACCAATAACCATTAGGAATTGTTCAGCATTTATTTCTGTTAATGTCTATGAATCAGTGTATGACCATATATCCAGTTTTTCATATAGCCCATTCTTCCTTTATACCAATAACCATTAGGAATGGTTCAGCATGTATGACTGTTTGTCTATGAATCAGTGTATGACCATATGTCCAGTTACTCATATAGCCACTTGGTTGTTTTTACCAATAACCATGAGGAATTGTTCAGCATTTATTACTGTTAATGTCTGTAAGTCAGTGTATGACCTCATGTCCAGTTACTCATATAGCCACTTTGTTGTTTATACCAATAACCATGAGGAATTTTTCAGCATTTATTTATGTTAATGTCTGTATGTCAATGTATGACATTATGTCCAGTTACTCATATAGCCACTTGTTTGTTTATACCAATAACCATTAGGAATTGTTCAGCATTTATTACTGTTAATGTCTATGAATCAGTGTATGACCATATGTCCAGTTTTTCATATAGCCCCTTCTTCCTTTATACCAATAACCATTAGGAATGGTTCAGCATGTATGACTGTTTGTCTATGAATCAATGTATGACCATATGTCCAGTTACTCATATGGCCACTTGGTTGTTTATACCAATAACCATGTGGAATTGTTCCACATTTATTACTGTTAATGTCTATGAAACAGTGTATGACCTTTTGTCCAGTTTCTCATATAACCACTTTGTTGTTTATACCAATAACCAGGAGGAATTGTTCAGCATTTAATACTGTTATTGTCTATGAGTCAGTGTATGACCTTTAGTCCAATTACTTATAAAGCCACTTGTTTGTTTATACCTTTCCATGATGAATTGTTCAGCATTTATTACTGTTGATGTCTGAAAGTCAGTATATGACCTTTCTTCAGTTTCTCATATAGCCACTTGGTTGTTTATAACAATAGCCATGAGGAATTGTTTTGCATTTATTACTGTTAATGTCTGTGAGTCAGTGTATGACCTTATGTCCAGTTACTTATATAGCCACTTGTTTGTTTTTACCAATAACCATGAGGAATTGTTCAGCATTTATTACTGTTAATGTCTGTATGTCAATGTATGACATTATGTCCAGTTACTCATATAGCCACTTGTTTGTTTATACTAATAACCATATGGATTTGTTCAGCATTTATTACTGTTAATGTCTATGGGTCAGTGTATGACCTGATGTCCAGTTACTCATATAGCCACTTTGTTGTTTATACCAATAACCATGAGGAATTGTTCAGCATTTATTACTGTTAATGTCTGTATGTCAATGTATGACATTATGTCCAGTTACTCATATAGCCACTTGTTTGTTTATACCAATAACCATGAGGAATTGTTCAGCATTTATTACTGTTAATGTCTATGAATCAGTGTATGACCTTATGTCCAGTTTCTCATATAGCTACTTGTTTGTTTATACCAATATCAATGTGGAATTGTTCCACATTTATAACTGTTAATGTCCATGAATCAGTGAATGACCATATGTCCAGTTTTTCATATAGCCCTTTCTTCCTTTATACCAATAACCATTAGGAATGGTTCAGCATATATGACTGTTTGTCTATGAATCAGTGTATGACCATATGTCCAGTTACTCATATAGCCACTTGGTTGTTTTTACCAATAACCATGAGGAATTGTTCCACATTTATTACTGTTAATGTCTATGAAACAGTGTGTGACCTTTTGTCCAGTTTCTCATATAACCACTTTGTTGTTTATACCAATAACCGGGAGGAATTGTTCAGCATTTAATACTGTTATTGTCTATGAGTCAGTGTATGACCTTATGTCCAGTTTCTCATATAGCCACTTGTTTGTTTATAGCAATATCCATGTGGAATTGTTCCACATTTATTACTGTTAATGTCTGTGAGTCAGTGTATGACCTTTATTCCAATTACTCATAAAGCCACTTGTTTGTTTATACCAATAACCATGAGGAATTGTTCAGCATTTATTACTGTTAATGTCTGAAAGTCAGTATATGACCTTTCTTCAGTTTCTCATATAGCCACTTGGTTGTTTATAACAATAGCCATGAGGAATTGTTTTGCATTTATTACTGTTAATGTCTGTGAGTCAGTGTATGACCTTATGTCCAGTTACTTATATAGCCACTTGTTTGTTTTTACCAATAACCATGAGGAATTGTTCAGCATTTATTACTGTTTATGTCTGTATGTCAATGTATGACATTATGTCCAGTTACTCATATAGCCACTTGTTTGTTTATACTAATAACCATATGGAATTGTTCAGCATTTATTACTGTTAATGTCTATGGGTCAGTGTATGACCTGATGTCCAGTTACTCATATAGCCACTTGTTTGTTAATACCATTAACCATGTGGAATTGTGCAGCATTTATTACTAGTAATGTCTATGAATCATTGTATGACCATATGTCCAGTTTCTCATATAGCCACTTGTTTGTTTATACTAATAACCATGAGGAATTGTTCAGCATTTATTACTGTTAATGTCTGTGAGTCAGTATATGACTTTGTGTGCAGTTTCTCAAATAGCCACTTGTTTTGTTTGTTCATACCAATAATCATGAGGAATTGTTCAGAATTAATGTCAGTGAGTCAGTACATGAATATGACCTGATGTCTAGTTACTCATTTAGTCACTTGTTTGTTTATGCAAATAACCGTGAGGAATTTTTCACCATTTATTTCTTGATGAGTGGTGCATAGGTGGGTTTTTGAAAGGTCAAATTTCTTACCATATGGTCTGTCCAATTTACCAGCCAGTGATAGTTCAAATTTCATCCCTATTGAGTCCTATTACAGGACCTATCTTTTGTCTGTTAATTTGTTCTTGTCTTCAAAATGCATGTGTTATTTACCACTGAACATAAAGGAACCAAAAATCAATTAATCTCAAGGTTAACAGGAGTAATTCCATCATCGATGTTATAATATCTATAACTTTTATGCTAAATTTATATCTTTCTTTGCAATATTATGTTCTGTTAATAATGCTAAAATTTTATCATTTTTCTGCAAAGCTAAAATTTTATCATAATGGACATGATGGAAGCTAAAATTTTAGCTTTTGGTCTGAAATGGAACCAGCTAAAATTTTAGCTCTCCTTTAAGTTACTTATTGATTCAAGCTAAAATTTTATCTTATGATTCTTTTTATTGCTTCAGGACTGATGAAGATTGTACAGCTGAATAAAAATGATTGCTCATTTGGGATTATCTCTTGTCCTTGAAATATATTTTAACAAGTGCAGAGATATTTTTGCCTGAGCTTTTGTTCTTTTGCATCAATGTTCAGAAAGAAGAAATATAGATGAAAAAAGAAAACTTTGGTAAGTTTTTGAATATTGATAAAATTATAACATTTTGAGCTAAAATTTTAGTTTTTTGCAATATTCTTAAAAAAATCTACTCTTGAGAAAATGAGACAGTCTCAGAATATAAAATCCACCCTTAATAGTGAAATTAAAATATATTTATCAGAAGTAAATTAATAGGATCAGAGTTTACCTGGACACTTCAACTCATGTTAAAAAGTGAAATATATAGTTCATTTAAGTTAAAAGTGTATTTTAAACAAAGGTTAATTATACTTATCACTATTATTTTAATACTGACCGATTGAATGCAGGAAAACTTTTCCCCAAAATTATTCATTTTCACTCTATGCCGATATAATTTTGTTTGATTATTGAAGAACATTTTTAAAGAAAGCATAAGTACCTTGAAATACTTCAAATAATAAGTCAGATATCAGAACTTTATGTAGATTTTAATAAACATGGATATAGTATTATGAATACTGAAATGTAATGGAATATATTTGACTTCTTGTTTTGATCCTAATGATAAATTCTTTACCTAATACTGATTCATCGAATATTTTTGCATTCCCTGACAGCAGAGCATAGGGATCAGTTCTGTTGTCTAGTGTAGTTGTTTTCCAACATTTCACTTTGTTCACCTGCAATTCCTTAAAAGTGACTGTCAGAATTAAACCAAACTTGCACAAATTCTTCAACAGGACATGAAATTGTGCATCTGCTATTTTAGCTTTTGATTTTAGTGGATTAGATGTTTTCTCATACCAATTCGTGGACTTTTCTGCTTAATATATTTAAAATTTGGACATGACATGAGACAAAGGTTTATTTCTCCTTCCAAAATGTCAGAGTATAAAATACAGGAAGATTTTCTGTATGTTACCTTTTTTTTTATCTCGCTAACGACGAGAGTCGTGGAAGCAAAATGCAGAGATCCTACATTCTATTGTCATTTGCGTTCTGAGCGTCATCAAAATTTAGGTTCAGTCTGTAGTTAACGTTTTTTTAAAACACCAATAACTTTATCAAACCTTCATAAAAACTTTGACAGAAGATTTTTAATGAACAACTTATAAATCCAAATTTGGAAAATATATTTTTTTTCAGTATTTTACTGATAGATGGACTTATTGTTTTGCAGTTCACTTCTACATACAGTCTGGAGTTAACATTAACATTAATCTTCATCGAAAAAAGCGAAACTCAATAGAAGCATCTTAATGATCAAGAAATAGCATCTGAAAAAAAGTTTAATTTCCCCCCGTATTTGACCGACAAAAGGAATTAAGTTTTGTGTAGTCGGCCTTTTCAGTTGTACACTGACAACATTTATCATATGTGAAACAAAGATTTCTGCTAACGCCTTTAGGAATATATTTAAATTGTTGTTCAAAGGTGCTATAATTTAAAAACAATTCTGTACTTATTATTTTAATTATTATTGTATTTGTATTTGATTGGATTATCTAAAATGATTTTAGGGTTTTGTACAGTGAAAACAATTTTGAATGGATTCCTTACAACTCTCGTCTGTCTAGTAATGTGTTTGGGGAAGAGTTTGATAGAACTGGTTCAGAAACCAATATTACTTTTGATCCTTTGATTGAGGTAAATATAAAGATTTGTGCAATTTTTGTACAAATTCAATGATAGCTACATTTATACTTTAAACACATTTACTCATTTTAGCATTTTATTATGCGACATTTTTAAGTTTACTGATTCTGGACATTTTAAGATATGTTATAAATTATTTAGGATATGTTATGAATTATATTTAATATTGTTTATGACATATATCGTATAAATTTTATATGATATCGAAGGAACTCTTTCTCATATTATTCACTTTTAATGAAATATCGAACCATAATAGAATATATAAGATATTCTATAAATTTGTAATTAAGTTTTACCCTTGCCCGTCTGCACGTCCGTCCGTACGTACGTACGTCCGTACATCCCAAAATTAGTTTCCGTTCTCTATCTTTAGTTTGCTTTAACTAAATGTTATGAAACTTATACACAATGCTTAATATCACCAAACACAGATTTAATTGGAATTTGGATGGCGTCACTTTCATCGTTCTCGAGTTATGTCCCTTTATAAATAGATAAATTGCTAAATTTGCTGTTTCCGCACTCTAACTTTAGTTTGTCTCAACTAAATGTTATAAAACTTTTGCATAATGCTTATTACCACAAAACACAGATCAAGTTCGAATTTGGGTGGCGTCACTTTCGCCGTCTTCAGTGATGTCCATATGTAAATTGAAAAATGGACACATTTTTCATTTATTTATGATACATTTTACAGCATACATGTTTAAGATATCTCATGAAGTATATAAGATATCTTGCAAAGATATGAAAGCATTTGTTTAAAGATTATAAACAGCGAATTTACACTTTCGGGGCAGTATACAAATTAATAAGATATCTTCTCTTCTTTAATTCATGTGATACCTTATTAACTTTTTTTTGCTCCCTGTTGTTGTTAATATAAATAGATATAAAAAATACTTATCTTGAGTTTCCATTGTTTAATTTGAATGAAAAAAAAACTTAAACCAATCGAAGATAAAGCAAAGGTGAAGAAGCTTGTTGATTTTGGGGTCTAATTTGTAGGCTAAAAATTTAAAAATCCTATAACTAAAAATATATTTAAGAAACAAAACATTGATTTACAGATGATGAATTGAGTTTCCGTTGTATGTTTAATATAAAAGAAATTAGATGGAAGGAGAACAACTCTTCAATATTCAGGTCCAAAGTCAAGATCACGGCTACTAAATTAGTCTACAAAAACCAAATAAATGTTACGTTTTGTTGCGATGATAACTTGAGGTACTCTTGTTGGATTAAATAATACTTAAAGAAATAGTTGGTAGAAGGAAAACAATGAATCTTCTTAATTTGAAGGTCATTTGATCAAATGTCCCATAAACTAAAAATAACTTTGAAATTCTTCAAATCTTGGGTTTCAAGTTGGGATATCTTTACTGTAGCCTTTAGCCTTTCAAAGATATTTTTATTGGGCATATGCCTTAAGATTTTGTGGGTTAGCCAGTTTCATCGAAAGTCAATCACCAAGGGCCTATCAATAGTTTGATGTATATCAAGGGTCCGGAGGAAGCATCTCTCAATACATGTGAGAGTTTGGGAGCATCTGTCAGCAGTGTCAACTTCTTACTTGTTTAATAAAGTTAAATCATAAAATAAAAAGATATCTAATAGATTATATTAGATATCTTATAAATTAAAGTTATAAGATATTGTTTATTTTAATACAATATCTTATATAACTTATACTTATTAAATGTTCAGGATATCTCACATGATTCATAAGCTATTGTTTACAATTGATAAGATAATTATTAACTTTATCGTGTGGTAATATGGGGTTGCAGGTTTAATTTGATAATACGAAATAGAGATTGGAAGGTACGATAATTTTGAAGTATCTCCTGATTTGAAATTCTTGAAGGTTTGCATTATGTATTTTTGAAATTTTGCAACATTAAGTTTTACAGGAAACCAACTGTTTGTTGAATTTTCCTGAGATGATTTCTTTCAAACATTTATTGGGCATCGTGACCAGTCATGCAAGATGGTTTTTTTTTTGGTTTGCATACAAATGAAACATTTTCTATGAATGTTGACACTTGATATCTTTTTGTACCCCACCGCTTGCTTTAGAGGATATAGTTTTCTTCCTTCCGTCCGTTCGTCTGAAACACTTCAAAACGCAGAGATGGTCTGGTGGAAACTCTGCATACTTGACTGAAATATTTCATCAAAATCTCAAACCTTATTTTATTTTCGATTTGATTTAATGAATTATGGCACTTTGACCATTCTTTGGACTATTGAAACATATTGTAACAAAATGACACATTTTGAACGCAACTCCTCTGAGGCCTTTTTTTTTCAGAAAGCTCTTATATTTGGCAGGATTGCTTGTTATCATATTTTGTTGACATATTGAAATATTATTTTTTGGATTCGATCAATCTTACGGGAGTCATTGGACTTTCACCATTTTTGGACTATCGTACCACCTTGTGAAGCAACATATCTGACAAGGTTTTACAAAAATCTCTCATACTCTTTGGATGGTTTCCCATCAAGTGGAGTTTACCATACTTTATTGTTATTTTGGTTCTACCTAATTAAGGAACATTTTTATACTTTTGTACTTCCAATGTATAATGGCACCATGGTTGGCCTTTTTAATGATGACACCTTATGAATGCATCATAATCTTCATGTCGGTTTGTATTGGACAACTTGATTACACAGAATTCTTGTTAAGATACCTTCCCAATTTTGTCTCAAAATGTTCCTTTCATATATAAAAATCCAGTATAATGCATATTCCTTCCTTTGTAGAAACACCAGATTACCTCGACGTGACAAGAACAACAGCAACAAAACAAAAGATATAAATACATTTTATAATGTAATCTGTGTTTCTGTTGTGCAACTCTATACTGTACTTACAATTGTCTTCCTAATATAAACAGGGGAGGAAGACATTTATCTCGGCCTAGCAATCTTGTTTTTGTTTTTCTAGTACACAATTATTGCACTGTCATAGAATTCAGTACCTGTCATAATCATTACCAAAACACCATAGAACCTCAAACATTCTGTTCAGTAGGATATATAAGTTGATTGGAAAATTTTTTGTTTCTTCAAAATTTGATAAATGCTTCATTTTTTTTTTCACATATTTATCTTGTATAATTTTAGTTATGTTTTCCTCCAACATTTTAGACAAGGTATATAATATTCAATCCTACAAACTTCTATGGACGTCCATCTTTGAAGGTGGAGCTATATGGTTGTCATTTGCAAGATGAAATAAAATCAGTTACCCAATTTTCCAAAGATGTTGAGGTATTGTACACTTATTTAGTAATGGCGAAATTGTCACGACATAGCAATGTGAACTCTTGACAGATATGTTAATTTTATGAATATTCATTTTCATTGCAAAAGAGTGATCATCAATTTTTGGTCTCTCTCCAATTTGAGCAGAGTCTTTGATGCTCGGAGTTTTATTTCGTTTGTAGAAAGACTCGTGTGAATATTTACATTAATTAAATGTTTCATAATGATTGAATGATTTTGATTGATAGACAACACTATTATGTAGTTTTTTACAGTTATGTTCTATTTTCCAATAAAATGCAACACCCATGACTGCACTTTCTCTACATTAATATTACAAATACATGTGTTTCAATCAATGTGCTGTGTATGCCATCCGTGAAAATAAGAATATAGCTCACGGTTGCAAAAGTTTTATCGAACCCTTAATCTGCATGACGTCTGATCATCGATATCAGTCACATTTGAAAAGGATTATCGAACCCTGAATCCGTACTACGTCATGTCACTTGGAAAATATTTACTTGAATTACGTAATAAGGTGTATAGCATATGGATTTTTCAATATCAAAAACTGTATCAACCCTCAAACAATATAATTCCTGGTGTCTCGGATTTATACAGAACATTAAAATATCTATGTTATAATTTATTATGCATCATGCATTTGTCATAGTTAAAAATAATGATTAAATAGATAATTTCTCTTATTATAAATTTCTATTGATTAAGCAGTCTTTTTATGATATCAAAAGTGTTCAACAAAGATCAACGGAAACATGCCAAATTCCATTTGTCAGAAATGTGTTAAGCATGAGTCCAGTATGTACAGTGATTGAAAAAAATGTCAGCTGAAACAAATAATCTAGGAAAGTCAGCAGAAGGAAGACCAATTTCATGAGTACACAAAAAAAACCGTATACTTCAGGTTACGAGTAAATTATTGGCATTCAATTTACAAAGAAATTTTTTTTAAAAATCAAACTTTTGTAAACAGGTCATTTGTAATAATGACCATATCAATGATAATTCATATCAACACAAAAAAGCAATATATATATAGTCATCACTAAGTTTTGTGAAAAGGACTTGTTTCTTTCAAATGTTGTATATATATAAGATCTATACGGGTATATCTTTGTGTAGACAAACACAGCATGGATTCCAAGTCAAAACCCAGTGATCATCAACAAAACAATTGAAATAAGGCCATCAGTAACCCTAGAAATACATGCAGGTGTATCTGTTATCTTTACAAAACCTGAAGCAGGAATACAGATATTTGGTAAATATTACAGTGCTTATACAATAGGTTTTGCTCTTTCACTATATCAATTCACCTATTTGTTTTTCTTTAAAGTTGCAGTTTGAATTCATCTCTGTACCTGATTAAGGTCATAACTAGTTTCCATTGGAGAGTTTTGCAATCTTTAGAAGAAATGCTAGATACTTAGAAGCTAAAGAGGTCGTTTACTTAAACAGGTGTAATGGCAGACCAGTAATCGGCTCAGTTTAAAAAGGAAGCAGTTCTTTAATATCTATTAACGCTTGGGAATTGGCATTTAACGAGAATTAAAAAAAAATGACAAAAGGCTGATCAACACGTTTTGCAACCTTTTTAACTTACATATTTACATTAAAGTTCGATCTTCATCCAAAAAGTGACGGGGATACGA